TCAGCACAAGATCAAAATGTAGACAGGACTCAGCTCAGTTAGCTGATTAACCTCCAGTACTCGGACATACAAAAACAAAACTAGCCATAAACCAAGCATATTCTTCTAAGCCAACGTCATGATGGATGGCATGAGTTCAATGAAATCGGATGTTGCTAACTCGTTCCATGATGAAGTGCGTAGTCATTTCGAAGAGAAGGGGAAACTCAAGTCAATGATGACATGCAAATCTTCAATGTTATTGACAGTGGAAAATATTCCTCGCAGTGTTGTGTCATTCCTTGATTAACTTACCATTCATGAAAATTATACAGAAGTTAAAAGTTCGCTTTGAAACCGGAATTCATTCCTGCACATCAGAGAACAAACCAAAACAAACCACTGAGAGGATCTTTGTAAACTCAGGGAGGTTAACGATGAAAGTTCAGGCTTGTGCAGTTCTAGAAAATTCATTTTTATCCAAGCCAAGCATCCCTAACAAAATAAAATAAGTACAGAAGTCCCTCAAAGCCGATTTGAACCCGCAGAACAGACTGTGAAGGTGGCACATTCAGTAATAGTGTTGTTGAGCTACTTACGCTTCAGCATGCCGACCGACCGACACTTGCGCCTCATCCGTGTGTCGTTACCGATGAGCCGGTGGTATGTTCGTTGATAACGAGGTAAAGAAATCAGTGCGTGTTCAAAAAGAACGGCAAATTTACCAATAAGTATTCACTAAAATAGTTCTGCTGTGCCTAAATCATCAATGCTATTTGAATGATACAGGAATCAACACCAAGACAATGGCTCCCTTGGTCGACTATGTCGAAGAAAAGCTAATGAGGATTCCTGGACGGTTATTGACATATGTCACAGACCCAGAACATTAGCCTAGACAACGCGTCATGCCCATCAAATGCTGGCCTTTCATAATACAAAGTGCTTCGCAATCGCAGAACAGTTGCCAAGGTAAAACCATTCCTAGTAGACATTAAAAGTGTGAAAAGCAGGTCATGAATGGGGTCGACCACCTCTTGACACAGCTGGGAACGTAAATTGAAGTTAATGTTTTCAATTGACAACCACTTAAATTTGAATACTCTACCTTAGCCCACGGACATCGAAATTCGCAGACACGACTATCAAAATGCATAGTGTCGAAGAAGGTACGCAGTACGTAGTATGACGCGACTATGCCATAGTCTGAGGACTAATGAGGCCCAAATTTCGTGAGTTGTTACAAACCAATCAACCCATTCTTCACAACCCACAGATGAGCGGGAACTAAGCTCGGTTCTGGTGCAGTTGTAGTGGGGAGCAGTCTTCTTGTCTACCTTTATTCCGCGTATTCAGTCGATATTTTGGGAAGCCAAAGACCTTCTTACCGATTTTCGGTAGGAGAGCATTAATCTCAAGAGAGAATAGAACGGGCGCCCCACTGGAGTTTCAGGAAAACTGGCACAAATAAGTGACTCGCCTTGGTGGAAAAGTTGCTATCATGGTCACTGGCGTTGTCGTTCCATTCCTCCTCGTCCTCCTGTTGATTGGCCCAGTAGTTGACAGGCTTTCGATGCCGTTTTCCTTTGCCTAACAGCTTTGCTTGGTCTTCCTGCGCCTGCTCAAAGTGATGACGCAAAAGCTTCTCCCAGTAAGCTGGGTCGTTAGTATCCAACTCCTGTTTGATGACCTACATGAATAAATGAACACTGTCGATGAATTCAGCAACGAGACATTTAAGTCAGCCTCGTGCTTCTCGCCTCACTTTCAGCAATAAACCCAACTAACAGTTGCTTTTTATTGTCATGATGGCCATTACAAATCAATCCCTGCAACGTTCGGGAATGAAAGTTACCTTTACAATACCAAGGTATTTAAACCAGTTACTCTACAGAATATAATCCCGATAATATTGAAAGTGACTTTACTTCAACATTAGGGTCCTCATCCTCGGGCTCTTCACTGTCACCATCTTGAATCTCGCGCTTCTCGTAGTGTGCCACTTTGAAGGAGCTAAGGTAGTCGTTCATCTCCATCTGCTTCTCCTCCATGCCTTGCTGACTACGATCCAATAGACGATCTAATGCAGCATCGTCGTAGACTATACAGTGTTCGTCTGTGGCTGCAAAAGAGAGCACACAAATAGTAACATTAGGTTCTCTTCCACGCCAGCCAGTATCGCAATTACAAAGAGAATAATTTTGGTTTCATAACGGATTCCTCTGTAAAGGATTGCTGGCGAAATAAAAACTGATTAGATGATAGTTAAACCAAATAAGGAGAAAAAGTAGTTGCCGTTGGTGGACTCCACATACAAGACTCATGATCTTAGCCAACTAGGTATAATGCCATGAGCTATCCCAGACATCGATCGCCAAGATGGAGAGTGAAAGGAGTGCTAGGCGTGGATATATAGAGTCGTGGATACTTGCATCGAAAGGAGGCTTCGGGTAGGGTGAGGAGACGCTAACGCAACATTTGGAAGTCTGACTATTGCATCTTTTAAAACGACAATCAGCCTGGCACCCAAAATCATGGCTAAATCGTCGCCGATTCCAACTCAACTCTCTAATGTATTGCAGTGAACAGTTATTTAGCCCATGAAATACCAGATCGACGACCAACTCATCGACTCATCAAACTAAACAAGAGAAAAATTTTTCGATAAAAACGATAACGTAAAAAAACCTGAAAAAATAGTACGCATTCGAGAGCAATACGGTTTTTAAAATCGATAACCAAGTAACACAGGTTGACTTGAGATGTTTCAACCACAAAAATGTTACAAGTATTTTGGATAAACTATTTCAAATACAATAAACGCAGTTGCCATTTCTGAACCTATA